CCCCAAAACCCCAAAACCCCAAAACCCCAAAACCCCAAAACCCCTTAATTATATAAGAATATTGAAGAGAGGAATTATCCATTAAAAGCTTGTGGGTCAACCTCATGAGCTCCAGAATTGTAGATCAGGATATCTTCAACGTACTGCTTGACATTTGTGGCGAAAGCGACAGGTTTGATATACAAGTCAGCGAAAGATTTCTCATCAGGATTTGTTGTGATGTCGATAGACTCGTTCAGGAGGAACTCTGGGTACATCCAGTATTTACCCATGTACCTATAGTGGCTACTCAGTTTTGGGGAGTGAGCCCATTCCAACACTGTCTCGAGTTTTAGAGGAATTATGTATGGTTTTACTCCAGTGACTGAGTGGAACATTTCGTAAATTTCATCCCAAGTATAGACATGAGGGCCTCCGAGTTCATAGGCTTGACCGATTGATTCCTCATCTTTGAGTGCATTGATGGTGGCAAGAGCAATATCTCCGAAGGATACTGGCTGTACAAGCCCGTTAGCTCCTTCTACTCTGAAGACTGTTCTATTGAACATCTTGAGCATCGAACCCCATTTTCCTTGAGGTGAGTTATTTGGGTCAAGAGTATTGAAAATAGTTGTAGGGCGGAGAACTGTGACATCTGGATAGATATCTCTTACTCTTTGTTCTCCCAGCCATTTAGTTCTAAGCATCCTACTTGGGGAATTTGGGTCAGCTCCTGCGGCAGAAATATAGATAAAACGCTTGATCTCTGGGTTATCTCTTATTGCTTTTGCAATAGTCACTGGGACATGGATGTTGGCATCATCAAAGTCTTCTTGATTTTTATAGAACCTTCTTGATCCGATAGCACAGATGGCCACGTTTGAGTGCTTGAGAGTGAAATCAATTTCATTTTGATCTGTGAAATCCATTAACCTAATAGCAGCTTTGTAGCCCAGATCAGCATTCACCCTTAATTCTCTGAAGATTGGATTTGAAAAATCTCCGGTTGCTCTATGTGGGTACACACAGATTGAACCAAAGTGATTGAGTTTCATACCAATAGCAGCACCTAATGGGGAGGTACCTCCAAAAACGGTTGCTCTAATCCCTGAGAGAGCGTTCTTACGGCCTGTATCAGTCACATGGAGCCTTTGGACATCATAAAACCTTTTAGGCTTCCTCATGAGCTCTCTTGTCTTGGCAAATGTAGATTTACCCAACATTTTTATTATAATTATTATATTTCAGAGTTATAAAGAATAAGAGGGGTTTTGGGGTTTTGGGGTTTTGGGGTTTTGGGG